GTGTTGGTTTACACCGCACTTAGCACTATTCCAGGTAAATGACGGCGGTCTGTAAATAATACCGTCTGGATCAGACAATCCAGTGATTGACATCATGAGCTTCGATCGCCGCAATTGGAATACGATAACATGCATCAACCAGCGAGCCTGACCACCCGATCCCGTTAGTCGCCTCTTCCGACAAGCATACACTTTCTGTAACACACTCACCCAACGAATTACTGAGAATTCGTGATTCATGTGTACTCGTAAACGCATAGCGTATATTCCGCATAAAACCTACACTCATGCGAGACAGAACGAGTACAAATAACCACGTATAACATAACTGAATAAATAAGTCCTCGTGCACAGTCACAAAGGCCAGTTTCTTTTTCCCTGTTACAACTGGTTTCATCAACATACACCCGACATTGTAACATACCTCGGAAATGTGAAATGTGGTTTATCGTCACGCCCAAGAACGTGTGTGTGTGTGTGTGTGTGTGTGTGTGTGTGTGTGTGTGTGTGTGTGTGTGTGTGTGTGTGTGTGTGTGTTTCCGGGCTAATGCCGACCAGTACTTGTTACGCCCCTTTAAGCCGAGCGCCAGGCAGGGTAACAAAAAGTACCATCTTTTAACCTTTTTTGGTATGACGCCGCCGGGGATCACTCCGGGCGGATGCTCTACCACTAAACCATGGAAGGCGGTCATGTTAATTGATGATTACATATACATACTTTACAAGAATAACAAATTATGTAACATTAATATAAAATGTCTATTTATCCTTATCCTTAATGTTGTTCTGTTAACTTTCTGACCGCTTCCGTGGTCTAGTGGGTAGAGTGTCTGCCTGGAGAGCGGTATGCATGTGGTTCGATTCCCCGTGCGCGTCACGCCATGAGATGTTTAAAGATGGTACTTGTTACCTGCCTCACAGAAAGGAGATGAAACAAGGACAGGTCAGATGGGAGTCAGTGTACTGTATCTGAGTGGCATGTCTTAGTGGGTTAGCACCAGGAAACCGGCAACAGCAGTACAGAAGCGTACACGCAGCCAAATGACACCACACCGACTGTGAAACAAACAACCCGGAATAATACAAGTAGCAATAGGGATTAGGGAAGAAGAAAGTATGATTCACAAAAGCGACGCCAGTGCGTGCACATCAGCACAACTGCTCACACACGAAGGTACATTTTGTAAATGAATATCTTTCCAGGTAGAGTTTATTCATTTTTGTTCTTTTTTTTTAACGATTCTTAGATTCGCATGCTCGGCACTTATAAGGTTACAACTACATATGTGTATCCTTGCAATCGACGCCATTTTGTTGTTTTCGGAACAGGCACTACCCTACTGATTTGAGATGTGACATCTGCTTGTACATACGGGTCCAGAGGGGGTCGAGGAGGTCCGGACCCCTTCCCTTTTGAAAACCAAATGTAGGATATTGTAAGCAGAGGGCATACTTGTAGAAGCAATTACTGGAGATCAGACAGTAAGTCAGTAAAAGGAGCGATGTACGGATCGATTTCCACATTTAGGAAGGTAGATATGTATTGCTTCAGCCATATTATGACTTAACAAAGGCGCAACATGAAAGGACAGAACTTCGTTCTGCCAGGTATTGCTGAAATCTGTCGAAAGCCATGTTGTTGCCATCCGGGTCTTACTGAAATCTGTCGAAAGCCCTGTTGATGCCATCCAGGTACTGCTGAAATCTGTCGAAAGCCCTGTTGTTCCCACACAGGTATTGCTGAAATCTGTCGAAAGCCCTGTTGATGCCATCCGGGTCTTGCTGAAATCTGCCGGAAGGCGCGTTTTGGACATCCAGGTATTGCTGAAATCTGTCGAAAGCCTGTTGTTGCCATCCGGGTCTTGCTGAAATCTGCCGAAAGCCCTGAAGATGTGCGGTCGCTGCAACTGAAATGGTTTCTGTCACTTTGCGTCTATGTCGAATCATGTTAATAAAGAGATGTATGAAATGGGTAACCAAATGAAGACGAGTATGAAGATGCATAACGTATCAGGATTTGCTGATAAGATGGGTTGCAGTAGACATGATGCATTGTATGGTATTATACAGAAAACAAATTCTATTTTTTGTCTTCTGAGTTTCATGGGTAGGGGATAAGTCAACATCGTATATCCTGATATGGATGTTACAACTTTGGTGGTGATGGAATGGGGTTTAACGTCGCGTCCAAGATTATTGCACTTATATAGCGACGTGCATGTACGTATGTGTGTTTGTGTGGCTGCTTGTACTAGTCCGGACTGATGCCGATTTATAGTGCTAGCCCACTGAGTTACCATGCCACAGTTTAACATGAATACCCAACTCATGCATGTAACATGGGACAACATGGTGTATGGAGACATGCATGTTACAACGTTGATGGGAACAACATGGTGTATATAGACATGCATGTTACAACGTTGACAGGAACAACATGGTGTATATAGACATGCATGTTACAACGTTGACGGGGACAACATGGTGTATATAGACATGCATGTTACAACGTTGACGAGGACAACATGGTGTATATAGAAAAGCATGTTACAACGTTGACAGGCACAACATGGTGTACATAGAGAAGCATGTTACAACGTTAATTGGGACAACATGGTGTATATAGACATGCATGTTACAACGTTGACGGGGACAACATGGTGTATATAGACATGCATGTTACACCGTCGACTGGGACAACATCGTGTATATAGACATGCATGTTACAACGTTGAATGGGACAACATGGTGTATATAGACATGCATGTTACAACGTTGACAGGGACAACATGGTGTATATAGACATGCATGTTACAACGTTGACGAGGACAAGTTGGTGTATATAAACAAGCATGTTACAACGTTGACAGGGACAACAGGGTGTATATAGACATGCATGTTACAACGTTGACGGCGACAACATGGTGTATATAGACATGCATGTTACAACGTTGACGGAGACAACATGGTGTATATAGACATGCATGTTACAACGTTGACGGGAACAACATGGTGTATATAGACATGCATGTTACAACGTTGACTGAGACAACATGGTGTATATAGACATGCATGTTACAACGTTGACGGGAACAACATGGTGTATATAGACATGCATGTTACAACGTTGACGGGGACAACATGGTGTATATAGACATGCATGTTACAACGTTGACTGGGACAACATGGTGTATATAGACATGCATGTTACAACGTTGACAGGGACAACATGGTGTATATAGACATGCATGTTACAACGTTGACGGGACAACATGGTGTATATAGACATGCATGTTATAACGTTAACTGGGACAACATGGTGTATATAGACATGCATGTTATAACGTTAACTGGGACAACATGATGTATATAGACATGCGTGTTACAACGTTGACTGGGACGACATGGTGTATACAGACATGCCTGTTTTTATGATGACGGAGGCAGGATGTAGTTGGGCATGAATCACACTTTATGTATGTCATAGACAGGCAATATATTCGTCCTTGTTTGATATTTGTAACGTAAAAGGAAATAGAAAATATGATTCACTCGGTCACTGTGTAGCTTTGCAAATGTGCCACCCTTGTCCTGCCCGTAACACCACGTAAACAGGTAAAGTAATGTTTCCATAATTCACTTGAAAAGACATAATCGTTATATATTTCCGATCAGTGATGACAATCACACACGAGGGATGTCAAACACCTGGTGTCATCAATGCAATAACAGGAATTGTCTCAGCGATTATATTTCTTCATTTGCCCATAACATGAGAAAACGTCACCAGAATAAGCTATGTTTATTGCCAGGAAGCTCAATGTCAAGCTCAGTGGGAGTTATTAGTTCTTTTATGTTTGTGTTTGAAGATTGATATAAGCAATTGTATTTGAGGTAACTATCTCTTTGTCGACTTATGATATGCTTCTGTAGGAAACCTTCTTGTCGACTACAGGTTCGAGGATTGTTGCATTCAACCATGTGGCACCACAACACGCTCCTTCTGGCAATGTGCGGGCTGGCTCTCACACAATGTACTGGTGAATATATTAAACACCTATCCAACGAATATATTATGTAACTGACATGTTCGCCGTCACACATGGCATATTTTGAATACACTGGGGCAAAGTTTGAAGTATCATAGTTATAGCAGTGGTCAAATGTCCGACATGTCAATAAGATATGAAAAGATGTGATAACTAATCAGTGGTTATGGCAGAGTCTTTATCGTTAATCATGAAGTATTAACGTTTAGTAAGGTATCATGTCCGAACAAGGAATTAAGTTATCTGGGATACGTGACCTCTCCAGTTTAATTTGCAACATTAGTTCATCTTTAGATCAGGCCTGAGAACATTAAATAAAAACGATTTAGCACCTCATCGATTCACGCATGCTTAATCTTGGAGACAATAACGTTCGCACTGACTTCATTGTTGCAGCCTTTCCGCTGTGCCAGGATATATATTCCAGTTGTACAGAGTCGCAATGTGGTCAGCCAGGTATAGACTCTTTCTGCAAGAAGACATGCGGCCTTTGTCCAGAAGGTGAGAGGCAAATCTAAGGGAAGACAGCTGAACTGTGCTCATGTTGATAGAGTGTTCTGTGCAATATTCTCAATATTTAAACGGTCCATGTATCAACTGCCTATTCCCTTTATCTGGTATTTGTTTTAAGCGACCTGATAATCATTGTTAATATTGAAACATACTTTCCACAGAGTGCAAGTCGGGATATTTCCAGGATGGCTCCTCGTGCAGACAATGCAAGGATGCTGTCGATGTACAGTCAGTCGAATACAAAGGTGCATGTGGTGGTCCCTGTAACCAGAGCCACACGTGGGGTGCAGACTGTCTTACTCCATGTAGTACAGGATGCAGGAATCAAACATGTCACCGGTGGAAAGGGCACTGTCTTCAAAACTGCCCGCCAGGTTACTATGGATCTACATGTGAATTAACTTGTGAATCGTGCAGGTCGTGTGGAGACGGTGTTGACACGTGTGACAAAGAAGAAAGGTGTCTGTGTGGCTGCAAGACAGGAAGACGAGGAAACAAATGTGACCAAAACTGTCCAAAGTGTGAAATGTGTTCAGGAAATAACTGTACATGCCAAGAAGGATTTCGGGGTGTGTTGTGTACAGAGACCTGTGTGAACTGTAAGAGTTGTAATGGGGCCTACTGTACATGTCAAGAAGGATTTCGGGGTGCGTTGTGTACAGAGACCTGTGTGAACTGTAAGAGTTGTATTGGGGCCTACTGTATTTGCCAAGAAGGATTTCGGGGGGTGTTGTGTACAGAGACCTGTGTGAACTGTCAGAGTTGTAATGGAGACAGTTGTACATGCAAGGCTGGATTCCATGGAGATGGCTGTACCGCCCCCTGTCCCCTGCACTGCCTCTATAACGTATGTGGTCTGGAGGGAGAGTGTACACGGGGATGTGAGTTAGGGTGGTATGGACGTTTGTGTAAACAACAGTGCAATAACTGTGTCAACGGAAGTTGCTCATTGAACGGGATATGTACATCCGGGTGCAGTAGCGGGTGGTCTGGTGACAAGTGTGACGAAGCCTGCAATGTCAACTGTGAGGACGAACTGTGTTATCGTAACGGAACCTGTGAAACATGCAAACCCGGTTTCCATGGAGACCAATGCAACATCCCATGCAGCAGTCACTGTAGTAACCAGAGATGTGACAGGAGTGGAGCTTGTGAATCTTGCAGAGTTGGAAACTTTGGGGAAATGTGTGAGCGACATTGTGGTTCCAACTGTATGAATCATGCCTGTGAACAAATGTCAGGAAGGTGCATCAATGGCTGTACCACAGGCTGGTACGGAGATACGTGTCATCTAGAATGTCCTGACCAATGTGCCTCAGAGTCCTGCCACAAAGAGACTGGTTCCTGTAAGTCTTGTATGCAGGGATTCAAAGGCTCCCACTGCAACGCTTCTTGTCCACAGTTCTGTTCTAAATGTGAACAGTATAGTGAAGCATGTCTCTCTTGTGAACAAAAACATTTCGGCAAGATGTGTGACAAACTTTGTTCATCCGGATGCAATGGAGGCACATGTCACCACCAAACTGGAATATGTTCACAAGGATGTATTGGAACTTCCTATGGCCATTACTGTAACAATTCGTGCAGTGATCACTGTGTCAATAGAAACTGTCATACAGTTAACACTGATGTAGATACGCCCCAATGCACTGAGGGGTGTGAAGACGGATGGTGGGGTGACTACTGTGACAACACGTGTCTACAGCACTGTGTGAGATGTGACAGACATCATGGCCAATGCCTGGAGTGTGAAGCCAACAGATACGGCGAGTCCTGTAACTTGACCTGTAACACTGCCTGCCTGAAGTCGCAGTGTAACATGACAGGAGTCTGTATAAACGGGTGTGAGGACGGGCGGTACGGAAGCCAGTGTTCTGAAAGATGCCCCACGATGTGCAACACATGTCTGTATGATGGTGCCTGCCTTACTTGTGCTGATGGCTGGACGGGAGAACACTGTAATGGTAACAAACGCCTTCGCATATAAACAATTGTATTGGTTATTTATAAATTGAACGCCATAACAACTCACTATGTAATCCCTAGTGGGGGTTCCTCGTAAGAATGTTTCCCAAGTGATGTTTGTTTCATGACGACTTACTGGATTGGTTCGTCAACCGTACCCTGACAGCGTAAACAGGAGCTTACAATATCAGTCACATGTTTGGCTAATGAAGACTCGATTATTTACAGGGTAAGCCATATAGCTGCAATTCTGCTGAGTGCGGTTTAAAGCAACAATCAATACAAACATAATGTGATCAATTGTTCATTTCGCAATGCTTTCAACTTTCATCTCGTTTAGGGCTTTCCTCCAACCTTAAGTTGACACGCCATGATAAAACTGAAAAACTGGTTAAAGCGGCGCTAAACCATAGTCACTCAGTCAACTTTCCTTGAGAGTTATGATAAGGTCAACTGACAGTTCGACCTCGCTGTTTACTGCTGAATATCGGGGCGGTCGGGTAGCCTAATGGTTAAAGCGTTCGCTCGTCACGCCGAAGACCCGTGTTCGATTCCCGACATGGGTACAATGTGTGAAGCCCATTTCTGGTATCCCCCGCCGTGATATTGCTGGAATATTGCTAAAAGCGGCGTAAAACCATACTCACTCACTCACTCACTACTGCTGAATATATAATATGTCTTTGTTTTCTTTGAAAAGAACCCAGAAGAAATCCAACGCAGTTGCTGTGGGTTGTGATCCCATGTCTACTAATAGCCAGCCTCGTCATAATGGCCGCTGTCGTCTTGGGGAGGTCAGTTGAATAATACTTATCCCAAGGGATAGAACTAGTGGCATTTAATTGTTGTACTTTTGTCCCCGTGGCAATTCTTGATTAGAATAGCCCCTATCAACCTACAACCTATATTCCAGTTATATAACGGCGGTCTGTAAATAATCGAGTCTGGACCAGACAATCCATTGATTGGTATCATAAGCATCGATCTACTCAGTTGGGATACGATGACATGCATCAACAGAGTCAGCGAGCCTGACCACCCGATCCCGTTCGTCGTCTCTCACGACAAGCATAGTCGCCTTTTACGGCAAGCATGGATTGCTGAAGACCTATTCTATCCCGGATCTTCACGGGTCGTATGCTGGTAGTAAGACTGGCGCGATCGTTTCGAGAGATTCGGCTAATTGGTTTATGGTGTGTCTTCGTTTCTCATGATATCAACCACCGGATTGTCTGGTCCAGATTATGCACAGGGCGTCGTCATGTATATAATAGTGCTGTGTTGCGTTAAACAACAACAAAAACAAGTAAATGTGATGATTGCAAATTAAAAAGTTAAGAAAATGGAAGATAAAAATATTCTATTTCACTCTATAAATGTAATCTATCCTTTGTTTTATCTTGTTTAGAAGTAATGTGAGACATTCAAAGACAGTAAAAAGACTCGGAAGGCCACGCAGTTCCTCCTTAGTGTGCATACTGAACCCATCCTATGAAGAATCTCCAAGAGGTAACTAACCATGTCTCTGTTTTACATTCCAACATTTTCGACCGCCTCCGTGGTCTAGTGTTACAGAGTCCGCCCGGAGAGCGGAAGGTCCGGGGTTCATACCAAAAGACGTTTAAAGATGGTACTTGTTGTTACCCTGTCTGGCGCTCGGCATTAAGGGGCTCAAACAAGGACTGGTCGGATCGGAGTCAGTATATTGTGTCTGAGTGGGGTATTCATGTTAAACTGTTTCCTGATATCTCAGTGAGCTAGCACTATACATCGGCATCAGCCCAGACTAGTACAAGCAGCCAAACCCCCACACACGTGCATGCACGTCGCTATATGAGTGCAATAATCTTGGACGCGTTGTTGAACCCAATTTCACCCCACCTCCAACATATTCATCTCAGCCACTGATATGTTAAACACTGATCGGTATTTAGCAAATAAGTATTACAGTCTTTTGGAGAGAGTGACTGCCCCCGTTTTTTGATAACTGGTGGTGACAGCCTACTGTGTATCATTTAAAGGTTCTACAACCCCTGTCGACTTAGAACCCCTGGACCCCGTCGAGGACGCAGTTATGTCCCCTTGTGTTGACACCAGGACGAGAGCGGGACAGGGGTATCCACACTCACATTCTTTAGCTTCCGGTCACGTGACTGACACCGCAATTCCTGACTGGGTTTGGTCAACGGAAGTGACAGTACAGAATCTAGGACAATATGTTGGAAAGATGAAGGACGAAGGCGGTTTTACTTCCCAGTTTTACGTGAGTATAATCCTATAGGCGATTGTTGTCCTGGAATAGTAGGACCCTGAGGGATATATGTGTCTGTCATCCATTTGTTTCCTCTTTATTCTTTCGGGGCGGTCTGGTAGCCTAGTGGTTACAGCGTTCGCTCGTCACGCCGAAGACCAGGGTTCGATTCCCGACATGGGTACAATGTGTGAAGCCCATTTCTGGTGTCCCCCTCCGTGATATTGCTGGAATATTGCTTAAAGCGTAAAACCATACTCACTCACTCTTTATTGTTTCAGAACCTGCCCAGTGGGAAGCTAGGTTCCTGTACCCAAGCCGGATGGCCAGAAAATGCCTTCAAGAACAGATACAGAAACATTCTACCGTGTAAGTGTCTATAGTATTTATCTTTCATTACATATACCACAGCAGAAGGTCTGCCACTTAAAAAAGTAGGAATGTTTGCATGAATATTCTAAGAATATGCGAGACCACCTGGAATGCATCTTCACACGTCTTCCTTCCACACTCTTCCTTCATACGAAATGAGGCTAATTTTGAAATCACTGACCTGTCATGTCATGTAGGAGATAGTGCCCCATATGAGCGTCAAGGGAGCTCTGGATGACATTCACTTGCTCCTGTGGCCTGTCTATTTCACAAGCCTGCTGTCGTAGGCGGTCACCTCCCTACATTCTGGTGACTTTGTTATCAACTGTGATGTGCACACTCAGTGTTAACTAGGGGCGGTCGGGTAGCCTAGTGGCTAAAGCGTCCGCTCGTCACGCCGAAGACCCGGGTTCAATTCCCGACATGGGTACTATGTGTGAAGCTCATTCTGGTGTCCCCCACCGTGATATTGTTGGAATATTGCTAAAAGTGGTGTAAAACCACACTCACTCACTCACTCACTCACTCAGTGTTAACTGAAACCGTCAAGGCCCAAGGAGTATTAAATCTCGTATCTCTGTTACTTTATCAGCCTGGTTCCCTGGGTATGCTGCGCTGGCGCTAAACTGAAGCGCCAGCGCAGCATTCCCAGGGAACCAGGCTGCTACTTTATGTGCAAGATGTGCATTTGATATGAAAATTATTTGCATGCATCGTAATAAGTCCTCCCTGCTTTTTCCAGATGATCACAGCAGAGTCAAACTATCCCACGTGCCGAGTATCCCTGGTTCTGACTTCATCAACGCCAACTGGATCAATGTAGGTTATGTGTAAGAACGAAAAGACCCACGCATAAGTCAATGTCATGAACACATGTTAATACAATGCATCATCCTTTCCAACGTTTTAACATCCAGTGATTTGAATTAAAGTTGAAGTCAAATCGATTATAACAATGACATTCCTTTTTATGCTTGTTTTTTAAAAGAAAGCATACCTGATTTCATAATGATGCATGACAATAAATAATGCGTCTCGAGGTATGTTAGTGTATATGACCGATGCCTATAATAATGTGTTCCTATTTCAGGGATACGGGGAACCGCGAGCATTTGTGGCTACCCAAGGTAATACATTACAGCTCGTTCGTTTGAAATCGTCTTCAAAGTATTCCAGGTTGCTTGCTTGGTTGGTTTGTTTGTTTGTTGTTTAACGCCGCACTCAGTAATATTCCAGCTATATGATGGCGGTCTGTAAATAATCGAGTCTGGACCAGACAATCCAGTGATTGATATCATGAGCATCGATCCACGCACTTGGGATCGATGACATGCATCAACCAAGTCAGCGAGCCTGACCACCCGATCCCGTTAGTCGCCTTTGACGACAAGTATAGTCGCCTTTTACGGCAAGCATGGGTTGCTGAAGACCTATTCTACACCGGATATTCACGGGTATTTGAGAGTTGAGGGCTTGAAAGAAAGCGAGAGATAAGTCAGTAATGTGTACGCCGCTTTAAGCAATATACCAGCCACACCAAGGCGGGGTTTCATGACTGGGGTTGCACATTTGTACCTACATGTATGTGTGGGAGCGAACCAAGGTCTTTAGCGTTGCGAGCGAACCCTGTAAGTGAGAAAGACATATTCTACCCCGGAATATTCACGGGACAAGTATCCCAGGTAACTCGTATCTGAATATACACTCACCAACAGCTGTAAAGCTAAATGTTCTTCAACGTTCATTAAAGTATTCTTTATGATCTACCCTGTACTTAACATCCATCCTGCCTACGTACATTCCAGGCCCCTATGCCGCTGTGATGTGGGATTTCTGGAGAATGATATGGGAAACGGATGCCAGTAAAGTGATAATGCTGACGAACTTTGTAGAGAACAGAAAGGTCAGACAATGTGTGTTATTGCCAGATTTCTACCGTTTACTATTCACATCCAATATTCACGTATCACTGCATTCGATGCAACTAAGGGTTAATCACAAAGGTAAATGTGTTTTCCAGGCTAAGTGTGAGAAGTACTGGCCCGACTTCGGCTACCAAGGCTCCAACTATGACGATGTTCATGTTCAGTGTTTGGCCGAGGAGGAGATGACGGACTACACAGTCAGGACCTTCTCTATACACATGGTACGCAGAGGTGAAATGGGGTGTAATACAAAGGGTACGGTGAGGTGAAATGGGGTTTAATACACAGGGTACGGTGAGGTGAAATGGGGTTTAATACACAGGTTACGGTGAGGTGAAATGGGGTTGAATACACAAGCAACGGTGAGGTGTAATGGGGTTTACTACACAGGATACGGTTAGGTGAAATGGGGTTTAATACACAGTGTACTATGAGGTGCAGTGGGGTTTAATACACAGGGTACGGTGATACAAAATCGGGTTTAATACACAAGCAACGGTGAGGTGAAATGGGGTTTAATCAAAGTGTACGGTGAGATGAAATGGACTTACACAAGGTATGGAATGGGTTTTATTACACAGAATACGGTAAGATAAAATGGGTTTATAAATGGGGTTTAATACAGAGGGTAAGGTTAGGTGAAATGGGGTTTAATACACAGGGTACGGTTAGGTGAAATGGTGTTTAATACACAGGTTACGGTGATGTGAAATGTTGTTTAATACACAGGGTACGGTTAGGTGAAGGGGGTTTAATACACAGGGTACGGTGAGGTGAAATGGTGTTTAATACGCAGGGTACGGTTAGGTGAAGGGGGTTTAATACACAGGTAACGGTGAGGTGAAATGAGGTTTAATACACCGGGTACGGTGAGGTCAAATTGACCTCACTATGGCACTATGGGAGTTACGATAACTTTAGCGCTACGATAGCACTATGTAAAGGTCTTCATTTAATATGTTTCCTTTGTTTAAGAGTACAAGGTTCAATGACATTCGCATGAGTGAGTGAGTTGTTTATACGCCGCTTGTGCCAGTATTTCAGTCATACCATGACGTCTCAGTTTCATTTTATAGACACATGTTGCAGGCTGCGTTCTGATCCTGGTGTGACTAAGAAATGCAACTCTGCATAGCAGAGTTTCGGACCAGTACAGAAATCAAGCATTAGGAAGAGACATGTCTATGGAGTATTTTCTTCTGCGTGTATATGCCATTAATATCTAAAGCATGGTAGACAAGTGGAGTACTGTGTGTGAAGGCCAGTCTCGGTGGCTCCTGTCGTGATATGATACTATTGCTAAACGTGGCGCCAGTCACTCATCTTGAATCAACAGTTGTAGGGAACAATACTCAATGTAGTCTGTCATTTCCGTTTCTACACAACCATTGTTATACAGGAAGGGCAGTCAGCGAGGACCCTGACGCAGTTCCACTTCACCGCATGGCCAGATAAAGGGGTGCCACGAGGAGTTGGGTCACTTGTTGAGTTCTACAGACTTGTCAGGAACTCCCCATCAACAAGCCACGGCCCAATGGTCGTCCACTGCAGGCATGTAGTATACATTTACATTAGTGTATGTACAGGGGAACTAAACCTGGGGCCCGCTTCACAGAGCTATCGTAGCGCTAAAGTTATTGTAACTCCCATACTTTAACATAGACTTAAGACTCTCTTTGCGCTACATTCGCTTTGTTTGAACGGGGCCCTGATCTGTCAATACGGGGCCATTTACCCTCCCGAATGCTACGCTATTTTGTCAAGTACACTCTGACTAAACCGGACTTCCCTCTGCGGATTCAGGACTGAAATTGAGGGACAAAGGGCAATTGTATCATATATTTGCTTCTTCCTAAACAAAGAAGATTATTTTCATGAATGTACTTTGTACTTTGATAAGGTTCAGTTGGTATCCAAACATAAAGCGTTGTTTTCCTTTAAGTTTTTCATGTTTTTTTTCAGTGCTGGAGTGGGCCGCACGGGAACATTTATTGCTCTGGATTATTTGATTGCACAAGCCAAGGCGGAAGGCGCGGTAGATGTCTGTGAGTGCATTGTCAAGCTCCGACACCAGCGTATGGATCTCATACAGACAGAGGTGAAAGGTCATGGAGATAAACGTTTCTGTGAGAGGAGTCTTGTCGTATTTGTAATCAATCTAAATTACTTTGTTGTGATTTCTAGACTGATTTCTAGACGTATTTTCTCTCCCTCCACACAAACTGAAAGTATGATGCAAAACATGGCTCATAATCCACGATGTGAATTCCAAGCAGACAATTGTGCAATGAGTTGGCTCATTTCTGTTTTGGAGATGTCCACTGGTCAATCCGACTGCTGGTCCGCGTTGGTACCAGTGGTCAAGCCAACTGCTGGACAACGTTGGTACCGGTGGTCAAGCCGACTGCTGGTCAGCGTTGGTACCAGTGGTCAAGCAGACTGCTGGTCAGCGTTGGCACCGGTGGTCAAGCCGACTGCTGGCCAGCGTTGGCACCGGTGGTCAAGCCGACTGCTGGTCAGCGTTGGTACCAGTTGTCAAGCCGACTGCTGGTCAGCGTCGGTACCAGTTGTCAAGCCGACTGCTGGCCAGCGTTGTTACCAGTGGTCAAGCCGACTGCTGGTCTGCGTTGGCACCGGTGGTCAAGCCGACTGCTGGTCAGCGTTGGTACCAGTGGTCAAGCAGACTGCTGGTCAGCGTTGGTACCAGTGGTCAAGCCGAGTGCTGGTCAGCGTTAGTAGCAGTGGTCAAGCCGAGTGCTGGTCAGCGTTGGTACCAGTGGTCAAGCCGAGTGCTGGTCAGCGTTAGTACCAGTGGTCAAGCCGACTGCTGGTCAGCGTTGGTACCAGTGGTCAAGCCGAGTGCTGGTCAGCGTTGATACCAGTGGTCAAGCCGAGTGCTGGTCAGCGTTGGTACCAGTGGTCAAGCCGAGTGCTGGTCAGCGTTAGTACCAGTCTAGTGTCGAAGGTAGCTACAATGGTGTTCACCACACGAGTGTGTATCAATCAGCACTGTGCACTCATGGCATCCCGGTCATCAATTAGGATTGGATTGTTTGTTGTTTAACGCCTCTATTAACTCTTGGATTAGATATTGTAATGTAGATACAATTACAAATAATTTAACTGGGATTGTGTCCTGTATGATCATCGGGCACTCCACAGTCCTGTTCGGATCATGTCAGCATGTTTGTTTGTTTGTTTGTATGTTTGTTGGTTTATGCCGCACTCAGCACGTTTCCAACTATATGACGGCGGTCTGTAAATAATTAAGTCTGGACCAGACAATCCAGTGATTGACGTCATGAGCATCGATCCACACAATTGGAATCGATGACATGCATCAACCAAGTCAGCGAGCCTGACCACCGATCCCGTTGGTCGCCTCTTACGACAAGCATAGTCGCTTTTTACAGTAAGCATGGTTTGCTGAAGGCCTATTCTACCCCGGATCGTCACGGGTCTCATCCATTAGAAGTAGCCGGGTAGACAGATGTACAGTCGACCTGTTGCGGGCATTGCACCATTGTAAATACGGGTCTGAGGCTGGTAGCGCCCATATACTGGCTACATATAGTATGTACTTGTAATTCTACCGCGGTTGTTGAACCAGTGCGACTGACAAACTCTAAGACTGTGCATAGGAACCGGAACAGATCTGCATGCGCTTTTAGAATTAATGTTACGGATAATAATAAAGATTTTTAAAGGTGACTACTATCTATTTGTAGGCCCAGTACACATATCTACACGATGCCTTAATTGAAGCCCTTCCTACGTGTGACAGAATGAGATCGACAAGAGGATACCTGTGAATACAAGGTCATGAAGGGGGTTGAGTACATAACACTATAATTACAATGACGACAGGGATGTCTTATGGATTTCAACTATGAACAGTTCAAGTAATATAGAAGTGGAAATGCATGTCAGCTTATGTGATGTCACTTACAGATATTTCGTCTCCACTTTGTTTTTCCGAACAAAACATATACATGTAATTTGTTGAACACTTACATTACATTTAAGCTCCTGTACAGTTGTATATACTATTTTTTATCTTTACATAGACCGTTTGAGCGACAATCAGTCGACCCTAAAACATACCCAGAGTGTCTGGGTAGAGAGTGTCTTGGTTTATGAGAGAGTCATCTTACCGAGGCAAGAGAGTTAACTGACTATAAAAGTCCAGTTTCCACCCTTGCCGAACTAGGCTGGTATTATGGAGTTACATTTTGGCTGGACTAACGAGTCTATGCATAGTCCAATCAAAATAGCGCACCGAAATCGAAATCCTGTTCGTTAACTGTCGTGCAGATTTCTGTCGATTGCAGGATTTGCAAAGCATGTGCACCGCCAACTCGTTGTAAGCAGATATTTTCCAAATCTTTTCATGTTTTTAATTAAGGTGCTCACCTGATTTGATGCATTTCGCGATGTAAGACCCGTTTTATCACAATATAGATCTTGATTATCGATCAGATCGTCCTGACTTGGGCGCCACCAGTTTGTGCGAAGCAAACGCAAGTGATACGAGAGGTGGAATCTGATTGGTCCATAGGGGAGGCTTAGAAGGGACATAACTAGTAATAGCCACTGGTGGCGCTACGATCGAGCCCAGTAATTCCAGCCTAGTTCGGCAGGGGTGGAAACTGGACTTTTAAAGTCAGTTTACTCACTTACCTCGGGTGGAAACTGGACTTTTAAAGACTTTTAGAGAGTATGCATCTCTGACTTTCGGGGAGTTTGTGTATCTGAGTGTTTGTGTATATAAAAGTCTGAATTTATGAGTCTTGTTATGTGAGTGTCTGAGTGTCTTTGAGTTTGAAAGTTTGAGAGACTGTATGTCTGAGCGCCTGTGTGTCTGTAAGCCTGAGAGTCTGAATGCCTTTGGGTCTGTTTTATCATGACACGAAATTGGATGGACATGTATTAGCAACATATAAGGCAATCAAGTGTCACAAAAATACCTGGCTTTAATCACGCCTTACAGCACTGAAATGAATTAATCGTTCACGTTCATTTGATCACATAAATTAAGAATAACATTAATAACAGCCACACACTGCCCACAGATGACATGTAGCTGCTAATTTACCAAATGTAGGCTAAGAACGATAATGTTATCGTGTATTGTATCCTAACTGTGAAGTCTCGGCTGCTGCAACTGTAATAGACGTTTCATCATGTACAGAAATATAAAATGTTGATTCTATTGTTAATGATTATAATTAATCTCATTAAAATCAGATCTAAGTTCTCCCTGTCGCTAAACAAAGCTCAGCGATAGCCAGAACTAAGATCTGATTTGAATGAGATTGGATTATGATATTCTGTATATTCCATTAATTTATCATTTACTTTTGCTGTTGATCACATATAACGACGCAATGTGTCAATAGTGTAAATACGTGTCTTTTTTACAGAAAACATTTAGCTTTACAACGGGTCAATATTTCAATACATATAACATGAAATGTATTCCGTAATATGTAATGTATTCAAGCTTTAACAAATAAACAATTTAGACCCAATAAATCTGAATTATTTTTGTCTTACGTTTTTCTCTCAGATTTTTTATGGGTTTTAAAGAACGAATGTGCTTGTTGCAGAGCATATATGTAATCAGGAACTTGTTGTAATCCCTGGATATTATAGGGAACATGTGGAATGTCTGATTCACTTGGGGAATATGTATAATTAGGAACATGTTATAATCCCTGGACATTACAGGCAACATGTGGAATGTCTGATTCACTTAGGGAATATGTATAATCAGGAACATGTTATAATCCCTGGACATTACAGGGAACATGTGGAATGTCTGATTCACTTAGGGAATATGTATAATCAGGAACATGTTATAATCCCTGGACATTACAGGCAACATGTGGAATGTCTGATTCACTTTGAGAATATGTTTAAAATCACTGAGTTATACATCTTCCCAGTATTATGCAATGATAGGCATTACACATATTCCCTTACATTTCGGGAATTATACATATTTCCTGTATCATTAATAATTAAATTTATCCCTGCAAGATAACGTGGTGATCTTTGTGGCAAAGGTTAAACTCCTGGTCTGTTCACACAAGTCCTTCATCACGTTTCTTGTGCGGTTTCCACACACCGGTGAATGCCTCATCGCTGATTGTCTTGTCGAACGTTCCTTGTTTGTTTAGGCATATTGTATGACTCAGGTTGTATGTCTTAGGACGTATCAAAGGGAGATAATAGAAGTTGTTATTGATACATGTGAGACAGTTGGCCTCCCAACATGAGCACAAACATCTTCTAGAGTCAGGGGAGTTAACTGACTGTAAAAGCCCAGTTTCCACCCTTGCCGAACTAGGCTAGAATTCCATGTTGTTACATGTTGGCTGGACTAAAGAGTCTATGCATAGTTCAATCAAAATCGCGTAACGAACTAGACACCCGGTTCGTAAATAACATGGAATTCAACGTCCAAATTTCGATCGAATGCATGATTTGCAGTCTTGCTGCAAGACAAATGGGAAAAGTCCTGACGTAAGCAGGTCGACTATATCGGGGGCACCGACAAACTCCCATGCCAAAAATAATCTTTATACTGATAGTTTCGTAAACACGAAAAAGCGTATTTCCCGGTATCATAAAACAAATAAGTTGAAACAAGAATCGAAACTAAGGGACGTATTTTGTTAATGTCCCAGTTTCCTATTCCCGGGTAATAGTTGATATGGAGGAGAAGAAAGAATGCGGTATGCTAATTTAACAAGCGCGTGAATGTGTGAGAGAATGCTGTTTTATGTCGCAGTCGGAAATATTGCAGCTGTCACGACAGCCAGTTAATAATCGAGTCTGGGTCAAGCAAACCCTGGATTGAATACATGAGAAACGATCTAGTAGAACCTGACCACCCGGTTCAATTCAATCGCTTGTTACGACCAGTAGCGGGTATCTGACAGCATAATGTCGGCCCGACAGACCATAGCGAAAGGCAAGTTCGCAACAGTTGATCTACTTTCCACATTGTACAAGGCATGTCAATACATTATATTGTCAAAACAGCACTGAAACACTACTATCTACTAATTATATTATACAACATATTATAACAAATCATTTTATTGCAAAAACAACAAAATGGAAAAGAAACGTTTTTTTGGTATTATGAAATTCTAACGCAAACACTAAGCAGATAACTTGGTTTTAGAACACATAAGATTAGGTGGCGAACTCTTGGATTAGATATTGTATTGTAGATACAATTACAAATAATTAAACTTGGATTGTGTCCTGCATGATCATCAGGCACTCCACAGCCCTGTTCGGATCATGGCAGCATGTTTGTTTCTTTGTTTGTTTACACTGCACTCAGCACTATTCCAGCTATATGACGGCGGTCTGTAAATATAACCGTCTGGATCAGACAATCCAGTGATTGACATCATGAGCTTCGATCCACGCAATTGGAACTCGATAACATGCATCAACCAAGTCAGCGAGCCTGACCACCCGATCCCGTTGGTCGCCTCTTCCGACAAGCATACACTTTCTGTAACACACTCACCCAACGAATTTCTGAGAATTCGTGATTCATGTGTTCTCGGAAACTCATAGCGTATATTCCGCGTAAACCTACACTCATGCGAGGCAGAACGAGTACAAATAACCACGTACAACATAAGTGAATAAATAAGTCCTCGTGCACAGTCACAAAGGCCAGTTTCATTTTCCCTGTTACAACTGGTTTCATCGACATACACCCGACATTGTTCATGAAATGAAAATGTGGTGAAATGGGATTTATCGTCACGCCCAAGAATATTGCACTCATTTAGCGGCGTGTGTGTGTGTGTGTGTGTGTGTGTGTGTGTGTGAGCGCCAGGTAGGGTATGTGAGCGCCAGGTAGGGTAACAAAAAGTACCATCTTTTAACCTTTGTTGGTATGACGCGGCCGGGGATCACTCCGGGCGGATGCTCTACCACTAAACCATGGAAGGCGGTCATGTTAATTGATTATTACATATACATACCCTACAAGAACAACAAATTATATAATATTATTATAAAATGTCTATTCATCCTTATTCTTAATGTTGTTTGACGTTCTGTTAACTTTCTGACCGCCTCCGTGGTCCAGTGGGTAGAGTGTCTGCCTGTAGAGCGGTATGCCTGTGGTTTGATTCCCCGTGCGCGTCATGTCATGAAATGTTTAAAGATGGTACTTGTTACCTGCCTCACATAAAGGAGTTTCCACAAGGACAGGTCAGATGGGAGTCAGTGTACTGTATCTGAGTGGTATGTCTTAGTGGGTTAGCACCAGGAAACCAGCAACAACAGTACAGAAGCGTACACGCAGCCAAATGACACCACACCGACTGTGAAACAAACAACCCAGAATAATACAAGTAGCAACAGGGATTAGGGAAGAAGAAAGTATGATTCATAAAATACATAAATTATGTTTCCAGGTAGAGTTTATTCATTTTTGTTCTACTTTTTTGAACGACTTTTAGATTCGCATGTTCGGCACATATAAGGTTACAACTACATATGTGTATCCTTGCAATCGACGCCATTTTGTTGTTTTTGGAACAGGCACTACCCTACTGATTTGAGATGTGACATCTGCTTGTACATACGGGTCCAGAGGGGGTGGAGGGGGTCCGGACCCTCTCTCTTTTGAAAACCAAATGTAGGATGTTGTAAGCAGAGGGGATTTTGATATTTTGGACCCCTCCCTTTTAAAAATGCTGGATCCGCCCTTGGGCATACTTGTAGAAGCAATTACTGGAGATCAGACAGTAAGTCAGTAAAAGGAGCGATGGACAGATCGATTTCCACATTTAGGAAGGTAGATATTTATTGCTTCAGCCATATTATGACTTAACAGAAGGCGCAACATGAAAGGACAGAGCGTCGTTCTGCCAGGTATTGCTGAAATCTGTCGAAAGCCCTGTTGATACAATCCAGGTATTGATGAAATCGACCGGAAGACGTGTTGTGGACAGTCAGCTATTGCTGAAATCTGCCGGAAGATGTGCTGTGGACAGCCAGCTACTGCTAAAATCTGTCGAAAGCCCTACTGATGCCATTCAGGTATTGCTGAAATCTGCTGGAAGACGTGTTGTGGACAGCCAGGTATTGCTGAAATCTGTCGGAAGACGCGTCTTGGAATGCCAGGTATTGCTGAAATCTGTCGAAAGCCCTGTTGTTGCCATCCGGGTTTTGCTGAAATCTGTCGGAAGACGCGTCTTGGACTGCCAGGTATTGCTAAAATCTGCCAGAAGA